GTCCTGTTATATGGTAATACTTCAATAAACGAAAAACACAAATCACACCAACAGACATATAAAATGTAGGCCTATCGGAGCATATTTTCGTTTCTGGCTGAGCTGTAATTAGCGAGAAGGCGATATAAAAATGCAATAGCATATCTTATGATGAAAATAGAACAAAATGATAATACTGCGAAGGTAAAAAAAGCCTTCAGGTTAGAATACCAATATGGAACTAGAGAAGGACAGTGGCTAGTTCTAACATGATTCCCGGTCTCATCTGCCCCGGCCGGTTGATCCCATTTTAGTTAGGCAAGCCTGGTGTGAATCACACGGAGGCGATTTTAGAATTAATTGACAGGATCCGTATCCATTAATAGGTTTGTAATATGAACTTTTTATGTTGATCTCCTACATAATTGTAAGTTATACTCCGCCTTATATTTCGTTAAATTATCAAGTTTACGTAACAAGTGCAAGCGAAATCCTAATTGACTGCCATGTTGGAAACTTCCTCAATCTTTCCGATATAGGTCAGACGTCTAAATATGGGTGTCATGACCAAATATGGAAATTGTAGTAAACATGACCGCATCAGTAGTAATACTATATTTGGCCGTGAAGGCCATATAAGGAAACGGATAACATCACGCGTGATCTAACATGGCCGTCGTTTCTTTTTTTAGAGTTTTTAGTAAGGATTTGTTATTTTAACGATGAACGAATATGCAATATTTTGATAACATTATAATCATATGAAGCGTGAATCAGATATATTATTACTGATTAGCACTTTTGATTATCCTCAGTTAGTTGGAACAGGACCGCTTCATAGCTCTGACCACGCAATATATAATTGTAAACAGGGACGTAAATGTCACCAATTTTAGCCAATCACAGGACAATATTTCCGTGTAAAGGGTTAATCCAGCGACAGTTCCAAGAGTAAATACGAAGTTTTAGAAGGATACTTAGTTCTAACTAAGAATAAGATTATATCCAATGACGTTTGAGTGAACTTGAGTCCGTGGTAATGGATTTTATTTGCAGTTTGTTTAGTATTACTAGAAGGTGACGTTATGTCTCGTTTATGAATATCTGAGCTCATTAACTGAAGTATTTTTACCGGAAGTTGCGTGTAGCATGCATGACCTACATTCAAGTAGCAGTTCCCGATTGAGATAAACAGGGTGCATTTTCAATAAGAATACGACGTTGTGATAAGATCATATGTTCTATAAAGAAAAGTAATGATATTTACAAGCCATTCAAGTGCATTTGAGTCCAAAGTTACGCATAATAAAGACAGTAGGTCCGGTATATGATTCAATTTAGTACCAGTGACTACCGCTAGAGGCCGTCTGTGTGAAATCGACATTTATGAATATCTGAGCTCATTAACTAAAGTAATACCAATAGCTGGCGGCTCACGCCTTAGCTAAAAATATCAATCCAAAATATGTGATGAAACATATTAAAAGAAGGGATCAAATGACTATATGGTCTATACATCAAAATTCATGACTACATTTATAATCTAACCTGAAAACTGAGAGAAAAGAACAAAAATCTTCAGTTTGGATGGAATGAGTATTAAATCAACAGAAAAAATGTTTGGAAAAGATTCCATGTTTGATTCCTTTACAAGATGGCCACCAAAACATTCATTTTACTTCCTAATCAGATTCATAAACAGCTATCAATGAAGTTCAGAGATTGTGCGTTTGTTTATTACTTTGTTTATATATACATATTAAAGTTAGACGCGGTATTAACAGCTGATGACATATACGGATAATTTTTTGCAAGATGCAAGCGTATGAAATGTGTTCGAATGGCAGACTTGGAAAACAGAAGGAGGAAAAAAATGATGCAAGGCTTTGAGTTTGTTTTCAAACTGGTGATTCTAGATTTGTCGTCTTGCTCCAACCATGTGAGCTTGACCATGATGTTTTTTTTGTAATGCTTGCATCATTTTAGCTTCCATAGAATGGTCCTACTGTGTCCAAAATGTAGCCATCAGGTAGAGCTACACTATATGTATGTTCATGATTTAAGATAATTATGTTCTGGTAAGGCATTCTCTGAAGCTTATGGTCAGCATCTGTTTGAATATAAATATATGTACCATCTATTAAGGCAGTCACTTTGTCTCCAAAGGAGGTTTCTGAGAATAAAGTATTGTGTGAAAATATATGTTCCATACTCAAATGGTACGGACCAAGGAACACTGGAACTATAGATATATGTAATGCTTGTACTACAGAATGAAAGGTTTTTGAAATATCAGACAGGGAAATGCCAAAAAGAGTGGAACACTTACCTACCAGAGAGATCAGTTTGCATCATAACCCAAAACAGTAAAAGAGCAGTTTGTGTAGTTTTGGTCTATACTGAAGAAGAAAGAAAAGTGAAAAAGTATGAATGGATTTTGAGAAACGCTTCTTTGACCAACCTGTCCAATCAGGGTCATCCAAGAGACAAAAATTGAGAGTGAAGGCTGATTGATTCGTTGATAAGATGTACGACACTTTTAAAAGATCATCAATTATTTCAGATGACCTACTTCATAATTGAGAACTCAAAGTCTCTCTTTCTTATAGTATAATCTGTGTACAAGGGTTCAGGTCATTGTCAATAAGAAATGAGAATACACGTGATGACGCAGAACACCACAATTTGTGTGTGAAAATTAACTGATGCCTGGCACGTTTTTGCAGAATTAAGGATTTACTTCCCTTCGAATTAAAATTGTTAAAACAAGGACAACATTTTTTTGTGAACAGGCCATAAAACAAGTCCTTGATTGTTAAGAGAAGAACCTTCTAGTATTTTCATCTTCAACACGTTTTGCTTCAGATTCTCCTTTGCGCAGATACCTTATGTAGCACTTCGGACAAATACTAACTTCTTAATTTGAGCAATTTATGCCACTTTTAGTCAGTATATCCAAAAGCAATTTATATTATGGATTGCTTTTTACATTTCGTGTACCTTTACATTTACAAGATTTCGCGAAGATATGAAGGCGACCTTCACCAATACATTTACTCTTCATTTTGAGATGAATATTAACAAATGAGTATGAAATATCCCCTAAAAGCAATGTATGTAAAAACGAAAGTCTAAAATGTATAAGAACAATTCTAAAAAGTGACGAGGATGTTACATTTGATCTTAAAATTGATTGGTAACAAACACTTTATCAATCACTCCAAGTGATGAAGCAAATTTGAATTTGGATTTTTTTGTGACTTAGCATGCACTGGAAGATTTATTGTAGGCTTGCAACGAATTACCAAGTAATGTACCTGCAATCAGGTGCAATGCTTTTTTGTGGACGTCAGGGAGGTGTCTTAGGCCCTCACCTTTTTGGGTACACAGAGTACTTTGTTGTGCGAAATGGATACTTTCCACCACTTTTTTTGGACTGAATTTTTGCATACATGTACATAATTGAAATAACACCACTTCTTCATGTTATGAAAAAGTGTGGTATAAAAGAATAATAAGAATAAAATCCTATATTTTACATTAAAATTTTCACAAAATGTTCGATTAAACTCACATTCTGGATGATAAATATATTATTAAAGCACTACATGTAAGAAAATGTTATTTCCTAAGTATTACGATGCAAACAAATACAATTGTTTTCAGAAAATTACTTTCAGGTTGATATTCCATTTTACGACCCCCATGCTGTAATTAGGTTAATTAATCATCTAAATAATTAGTAGAGTGATTCAAAGAAATAACATCAGATGTATAAAGGATTAAAAAGAGTTAAAACAGCAGCATAAATCTCGTAGCACTTCTGAAACAAAAGTTATGAGGGGGCAGGCTCCTATGTAATCTTAACATAGCTAGAAATAGTCACTTTCATATCACATAACTTGCCCGGAGTGTTCATCAACAATTATCTTTGAAAAGTTTCAGATATCGTGGATCCAGCGCACGAGAACAACAGGGAAGTCACGAGTCGTGAAAACTGCGGCAACCGACGATACAAAGGCAATAGCAGACCTGAAACAAAACGATAGTAAACCATGTTCTTCTGAAAGATTTATATCTCTATAGAACGTGTACACGTATTCAAAATCCCGGAAGCAAGGGTTTCCATGTCGATAATTGTGGCAGCCTTCGATATTTTATTTGACCCTAGACCCCATTGATGTCTAAATACTTAAGTTACAATGTTGTGCAGGTAAAGGCTGTACATTGCCATTAATCATGAGACTGTCATATAGTTTCAGCCGTAGGAGCGATAAACATGTCCGAGTTCAACTGTGTACATGGTGTTTTTGTCATACTCTTTCAATACAAAATTCTTATTTAGGGAAATAAGCGCTTTAAAACGTATGTATGATCTATTTACATTTTCCGACAGGATTACAGTTCGTTCGATATTTTAAAGTCTGTTACCGGTACCCTGCGCATGCTCTTCATCACTTGTTCTTACATTTAGCTTAACAAATGTACGTAATAGTCGATAATAAAACAGCCGTAGAACATTAGAACCATAAACATCCCGCAAAAAGCGTGATGATCCGTGTAATGTGTAATTATATCAGAAACAAAACGGGAACAATACGAAATACAACAAATAAATGTAAGTATATGATAGAGCGAATCTTACCATTTCAGATTACCGACATTTTCAGAAATGTATGGAATGGTTCATTTCCATATTCCTCGAGCACAAAAACAAATAACAAAACATGAATTAGTTTAATACCACTGAAAATATTTATTACATCTCTGGAGTCCGGACCGTTACGTTTACAGCCCTAATAACATTTATAACACACATTTGTTTCCATAACAACGTAACGCTGCATGCAGTAATGAAAGGTTCGTATGAATGAAGCCATAACAATAGAATTTTATTGTTAAAGCATACATTGTTGTATTGTATTACAAGACAATACAGCATGGTAATCTTCATATCTAAACGATACGGATTTATGTTAGATAACAATACAAATTGTACACAGTAAAACCTCGATATAATGCTTCTCGTTTGATTTGCCTTCTCGCTTATAGCTAATATCTTCTTTATGTATCCGGCAAAACTTCATATACATCTGGCCTTACCAACATGGACTCCTGGCCCTAACCGGTCCACTAATAAATGGAATTCTGGCCCTTACCGGTCCACTAAGAAAGATAGCTAATATTGAGTTAATGAAAACTCACATTTCCTTTTAATGATTTATTTTTGATGTATTTCCTCAAGGTTTAGCTCGAAAATTATTAGCCCAAGACATTAGTCTTAATTTTTTCTTGTGGGGTACTATGCCACTTTTAGCAAACTTCCATAGGTGAATTATGTCTCTTGCGTGCTTCATCTATAGACATTCCTGGTTAAATTGTCCAAATCCTTCAGAACGAGCAAGGTTTACTATATTTGATGTCACGAATACAACATTGTATTTAGTTGATATCAATAGTAAAACATTGTCTGAATTTGATATCAATAACAAAACATGGTATACTGTCAATATGATATCAATAATGCAACATGTTATACATATGTCATATTCAAAGCACAACAATTCAGGGTGCTAATATTAACAATACGTCATTGTATATTATGTAACAAAATAACATTGTATAAGTGAAACATGGATTAGGCGACATTGTATCGATATCTGATCTGGCTTGCTTTTCTATGAAGGCATGTATATGTTTACTGTGCGTTTAGACAACAACCATGTCGGAAAACGAACAATGACAAGACATATACCAAACCAACTTTAAAAGACATACCACACGTTTTAAATCAATAATTTAATTCAATGTGTTCAAATGATAATTATAATCAAACTTTACAAGTACAGCGATGTCATTTTAAGTGAAAGCATTGTTGTTGGATGGATAAAGGTTGTATTTATGTATTGTCCGTTGTACAATTAACTTTCATTGGACAAAACTAATCCCTACATATTCCGGGTTAGTTATTACAGAAGAAAATTGACTGTAATTGTATATATACATGGAGTTAATAACGAAATTTAGCAAATATTGACTGTAGAATATTGAAGGATCGATATTTTAGCATACGTACCACCACTCTAAAATGGGGTCGTCCGCTTTATGAAACCGAAACACTTTTTTATACTAAACATACTATTGTAGGTTGTTATTTATGAAAAAAAGGCAATTTTAGTCCTTAGATAAATGATATACATGAATTTCCCAGAGAAATAACACATGCTTCTGACAACACTGAAAAGTGTACATAACATTATACCACTGGAAAATAGTAAACACGTAGATGGCATTACATGTCATAGCACTTAGGATGTTTTTTTGATAATAAAAGCTTGAAGTGTTCAAAAAACTAAAATGACGATCAACAAATACAGATGAATACAAAATACTACTATTTTACAGTACATAGCACTATTATATTGTAAAACTCTCGGTCAACGAATCAACATGCATACAGGTGTTCTCATCCAGTAAAATAAACGTAAGTTAACAGGAAAAAAACGTCTGTAAAGGAATTAATTTAGTCTACAAAAGAGGTAATATTCCATCGTGCGTCCATCACCGACACACACAGCAGAAATCAACATAATATCAGTCGTAACAGTCTGCAATAAAATATATTCCCAAATCAAAACGCTCGACGCTAAAAATACATATCCTGAACTAAAATCAATTTAAACTCAATGATGTATCGAATTTTATTTTGATCTGTTAAGAATAAATATTAACCAATTCATGCTATGCATTTTTTAATACGGTAAACCAAAATATCGTGCTTAAATTGTAATATCGTTTGAAAAGCAATATTGTTATTTTTCAAATTGTTACACTCGTGTTCCTTATGCAAAAATAGCTTACACAAATGGTCTGAATTAAAACTAATATTGTATCAATCAATTATGATGACATATTAGGCTTTATATATATAGATATAGATATATATTAAACATGTATTTGCAAAATTGTATGATTACCATTTCACACGGAAATACGTCAAAACGTAGCATCCGAATGTAGTATACACATTTCAATATTCTATGATCTTTTGATTACCGTGTTTTACACCTTGTGGATCATTTTATTTTAGTAAAATTTCATTACTGTTCAAAATGAATAATAGCATGATAATCAAAAGTCTCAAATAATGATAGTCCCCAATTAATGGAAAATTTTGAATTCATAAAAACCTTAGAAAAATATGTATCATGTCATGCAAAGTCGTTGTCGATTGTGTTATTTGGGTAAAGCACGTTACGTGACCACACTTCTGATTAATGCAGTGTGGACTTTTCCTGAGGTAGATGAACAAGCTTAAACTGATTATTTCCAACTATCAACCAACACAAACAGACTTCCTATTACATTGAGACATACTCATCAAAAACGTCGTTTTTAACTAGAACTGTAAGCCAAAGGCTAACTTATACCCCCGCTCCTATACTAAGGGATAGCATTGCAAAGCAATCCATATTCTCCCACAAGTAATGATTTTTTTATTGACTGAGCTTGTACACTTATTGGAGTATATAGGTCACTGACATACTTACAAACCAAATCTTGTTAGCCTAGATGAACCAGCTTTACTGAACGCCTCCTAGTAGTTAAGGATGAGTTGTCATGACAAAGATTTTTTTTAAAAGTGCCATAACTACTTAAAAAGGGTCAAAATGAAGAAAAGAAAAGATACTTCCCAGATGCACGACATCGGGGGTAATTACCATATCTGTTAACTTTCATTGAAATCGGCCCAGTAGTTTAGGAGGCAGACAAATGTTTTTTTTCAACAAAATGCCATAACTCCTTTTAAAAGAGTCAGAACGAACAAGCTGTATGAATTGGTATCAGTAATTTTCCTTAAGATCCATCAAGTAGTTTAGGAGGAGAACACGGTACTACATTGCATCCATTTCATTGAAATCCATCCCGTAATTTAGGAGGAGTATGTACAGTGTATCTGGTACAGTATTGGTAAAAGTTCAAAACTTGGAAAGTCGAATCCTGACAACAACAAAAAAGAGTTATATATGGTAAACATTATTGCTTCTAGTACTACCATAACAAATTTGAAAGGAATTGAATAAAAATGTAAACAGTTCTTGCGTTTTCATGGTCTAGAGAAGGTTTATGAACCAAGGGCCATAGCTTCGTAAAAAGGGGAGATAACCCAATAAAAAAGAACTTTACCTTTATCTCCAAGCTGCAAGGATTGTTATCAGCGAATTCCATTGAAATCCATACAACAGTTTAGGAGGAGTACACCGTACTACACTACATCCACAGAAGGAAGGACAGACAGCCGGCCGGACAACCTGATTCTAGTATAACCCCCCTAACTTCATTGCGGGGGAGTATAATAAGGAATAGAAATGATGTCAAAATTGATGATTACGTGTTTGTCGGTGCTAAGGAAAGATTCACATTTCAGTTGTTTCCAAACCATTGGAAAATTTTGACGATTTTTTTTTTTTTTTTTTTCAAAACTGTACTGAAATCAAATGCATTTGCCTAGGAGATATTTTCATGCATGCAATGTGACATTTCCAATATTGTTATACCGTTAGAAACATATTGTACAAATGTCATTAAGAATGTGTGTTTTGAAGCGATTTCTGGCATTGTACCAATTTGAAGTGGCGTGCCAATTTGGGTAGCATCTGTCCAACAACAGGACACTGCCCCGTAGTAGCAACGATCATCTCCACAAAAAGAAATGGCAGTTTTTTTCTGGAATCGTATAAATGCAAGAAACTAAATAATAATATCAAGTTTCAAAGATGTAATTATGTTTACTGTGCATTGAAGCTGTGTTAGTTGATCATCTTAGCTTCTAATCAAAAGTGAAACCCAAGAATAAAAAATATTCTTACATGTTAATAAGGAAAACAGGAGACTTAATCTTTTTTAGCTACAAATGAAAAGACAGGAAACGTGTGGCATTTTATGAAACAAGAACAATCTACAAGGCTAATTTATGTAATTGACTACATATATATTGACGCTCAAAAATTAGTTTTGAAGCTGTAATAAGACATGTACCCGAGTCTTTGATGGCATACACCGATAGCTACTTAACCTAGGCTTATTCCACACCAACACAATGCATAAATAATGTTTCATCCAAACTACCCGCATACTACTTGATAAGGATTGATGACGCAGCATCTTCTAAAAAGCCAAAGCATATCAGCTGAAAAACAGGCCTCAGGGGACCTGTATCACCTACTTGTTTATATACTTTCTGAATAAGAAAAGACCTTTAAAATACTTCTGACAATTGAAGATCAGGTCAGCAATAGTGCATTTCATATGACCTTAGCAATAACAACAGCAGTACTTATTCAAAGAGCATCCTCTGTATCAATTTGCCGAAATTTCTAAATTTGACGATAAATCCATCTATATGTTTATGACTTTTCCTTTCTTCCTTCCCCCCCTCCTCTCCCCCACAAAGTTAGGGCCACTTGTTTCCTGTAAAACCTTTAGACCAGAAACATTCATTCCAAACCTTATTGTTAAAAACACTTAAGTTGTTCAGGACAACTAACATTTGAAAGGCTAATAGATGAGAGAAAATGCACCATAGCCTATAGGTTCATTTTCTCTTCTGGCAAATTGAGCAGCATCAAGATAACAAAATCAATAACTGACTTCCCTTGAATTACGTTAAATCTACCAACTTGGTAGGCTGTAACTTGACACTGGCACTGATATAGGTAAATTAGGCTGAAAACGAAAGCTTGAATAGTTCAGAGGTAATTAAAAAACTGTTCCTAACACATAGTAAAAAAAAATGAAGAGAAATACTTTTTGTAACATGATTCTTAAATACTTTTCATCCATACAGCTTGAAAGGAACATCATTAAAAATTATCATTTCAGTATCTATCACATGTGAAACCCCACTCTTACAGTGCTCCGTATAGAGGTGAGAAAAATCCTAATTAAAAATCCGTTTTCTATGCCTATTGGTATTAACCTGAAGATTAATTGTTAAAACTCAAACTGTCTAAACTTTCCTACATCAGAAAACAGAATCCAGCTAATAAAAGCGGAACTTCAAATGAGACTTTTTTTCATGTGATAATTATGTAAAAAGGAAAAGTAGAAATAAACCCTCTTGTAAATTTTAAAAGAAATCTATTTCTCTCGTTCATTGATATTTACAAACAAACAGATTAAAATAAAAATCTTTTTGTTTTCTCGGCTGATTTTCACATTTGAAACAATCTTGAAAATCACATGGAATCAAGTAAAATTGTCATGAGTTGGCAGGACAACTGATTTATAAAAGCATATTGATATATACAATGACCATGTTATAACTATATATGAGACTGTTAACTACAACAGTCATAGATAAAATATATATATATACCCTCTATATTACACTAGTATCGTCACAAATCTGTACAATGTTGTTCATATTTTTTACATCAGCACTGCCCAAACGTATTTCATGATTTCAAAAGGAACATAACTGATTTTGACAATTTTACTTCTTTGTCGAGAATTCATACACAGTCATAATACATATACTAGTCAATATCCCTCTCCGTGTAATCATTCGTACACAGTGCTACGCGCTCAACAGGCAAACACAATCTAATTAAAATCATATCTTCACATCGCTCCCGTTTTCTGATATAACGACACATATCAGAAAACGGGAGCGATGTGAAGATATGATTTTAATTAGATTGCAGGCAATCACATTTCAACATTTACTCAATATACATCATATTTCATTTAACAAAATATTCTCTCACACGAAAGATATGAGCAATTTTCAAGTTGGAAAATAAAAACGGAATTAAATTCTAGATATAACCAAAATTAGAAAACAAATTATAAACAACTTTGAAAAGGAGTTTACTATTTTATCAGTATGCACATTATGTAATATATGTTTAAAAATATTAATAAATCTTAAAACGAAATGATTGAGTGTTACAATGAGGAATAAATTAAACACATCATCATACATGTCACATTAATAAAATATGACAAGAACTATATATTATACAAGCTTTCTGCATCAGGCATATTTTATATACGAATTTTTTTTTTTTCTTTAATTAAGTTTCAGTTGTTTGATCAATTTAAACAGAACGCTGACAATCTTCTACTCATGATATATATGTTTTCAATTTTTTTTCAGTGGATCTTTAATTAACTCTTTCACCCCTGAAGACACATTTGAACTCTTCCAATTCAAAGGTTGGAATAGTTCATTGCGAAATGTCAGGGGTGAATGAGTTAAGGATCTCTGTGCCACTGCACTGTGGGTTTTATCTATATACAGTTACCTCCCCTTAACTTCCTTTTTGATAAAACTTAGCACAGTAGAACCAGGACATTTCGTTGACCAGGTAGAGAGATATAGTATAATAACCTCAAGTCAAGAGTTCTAATCCCTGTCTAACCCTGCTGAAATTTTACACTCATATCCTCCTTGTTGATTATGTTTTGTTTTTATTTTACAAGTGTATCTCTATTATTTCTCGTAAAAGTTCTGCAAGATATGGTTTTCTTTACAGACGAGTTGTACCAAAGCTATAATTATGCCGGACCAGACAGTTTCCAATATTTGGTTTTTGGCAGTGGTACCGGGATCCTTAATTGAACCACAATATGAAAAATATAACCTGGTAAAAAGCTGGGAAACAGTATCATAAAATCGCAAAATCACTAAAATAACTCAACAAAAATTTTGACAAAACTGCTTATAAGAAGCGTAATTGAACAGTTTGCCAGATACTTAATTAATATCAGGTTTTCTTTTGAATTGTACAAATGCACATGCATTTGTTTAATATATACATTTCAACGTATTTTTATGGAATTTTCTGATTCCTTTTTAAAATCACGAGACAGCACTTTTCATCAGCCCTGAATCTGTAAATATTTATCTAGATACACCAATAACATTCTGATGCATCTCTTAATATCAAGTTTGTCATCATTACCAGCCCCAACAGGCAATAACAGATTTCTAACACAAGAAAAAATTACTAAAGTTTTTACAACAAACATAGATGGCTATTTTTGAATAAATTAAAAATTCTAAAGAAATCATAAAAAAAAATCAAAAGCAATAATTAGCACTTGAGAATTTAGTCTGAATTTAGACTAACTGGCACTACCATGTGTAAATAATTGACATTTAAAATCATAATCAGAATATCATAATTAATATAGAGTCAGTCTAATTGTACCTGTCTCTCTGAGAATGTTACTTTTGTAAACAAAACATAGAATGGAAACCTACTGATATTATAAACACATATACACTAAATAATAATATTTTTTATTAACCCATTCACCCCTTAAGGCAAATTTGAACCTTACAAAATCAAAGACTGGGCAAGTCCAGTTAAATATGTAGGGGTGAATGAGTAAAGGAGATATAAACTGAAATGTATTCTCATTAATGAGTCTGAAACAAAATAAAACAATCATGTCCAACTCTTAGAAACCTAGTAACATGTCATTGTAAACCCCAAATGTGACGGGACGTCTGAACACATAACTTTTTTTTTAACTTCTGTTACTATTTCATGAGAAGGACAGACATAACATTTTATCTGTGATCAGTAAATGCCATGTCTCTTGTAGCTTTCACTTAATTTGGATTTTCAATTCTGAAAATGAAATATTCAATCTGTTTCACAGCCTTTACAATCACACATCATTTATAATGCTCACCAAGTCATTGCCCCCACCAAAATAAAATATATTAAAAAATTAACAATAATAATGTTTCAGAAAATAAACTTTGGATTAGCTTTTATTTAGTACTGTAGCCAAAACTTCTATATTCGGTTTTAAAAATAATCATCTTAATGTTTGGGGGACAGCTTGGCGGTTATAGAAAAATGATTCAAGGATTGTGAAAATAAATTGGACATTTCATAAAAGATCTGACAAAATGAAAAATCAAATGCTGGGAGATGGGCTACGTGTCTGAGCTAATGGTATCCGACAGTTGTTACAGCAAAGACTTATTAGCAAAAAAATATATATAACACTGAGCAGAATCACAAACCTTTTCAGGTAAATCAGAGGTAGATGATCTTTGGGCCAGGGTGACTCTGGATTATGCTCCGCTGATTGTTCTATTCTCTTTATTTCCTCAAATTTAACCAAGTTTCTGACACTCTACAAACATGGTAGTAGTACTGAAGTGAATTTAGATTAGAAATAAGATTTAGTAGGACAGATACTGGACGCAGGTAATTACTTGCCTCTATGTCCATATCATATAACAATTTCAATTTACAAATCACTCCCGTTCTACCAAAATCTACCTTAACGATCTCCGAAATGTGCTTAATACATATTACTACAGAATTGCACAGCTACCAGTCTGCAGTAAGTATAAACAGAGTGAAACAAACACAAATTGGATAGCTGATTTTCAGTTCTGAAATTCGATTGACTCCATCCGAACATATTGGCTAACAAGCCACTAACACCCGATCATTATAATCCTGTTATGTGTGAATCGGAAGAATAAACTTAGAATATCCACTTTCCTGTAGAAACTCAAATTGCATTGATATCACTTGATCTGCACAACTGACACGAATTTCCATAGGGAGCATAGTTAGAGCGCAAATTACATGGTGGGAAATATTCTTGTACCATTATTGTGAATTCAAGTCAAATTGTCAGAAATATTTTTGTACTGTCATTGTCAATTTAAGCTTGCTGATATGTGCAAACTCACGCTATGGACTTTTACCCCATAAATCAGTAGCAGGGAGTCATGATTTAATATACAGCTGTACCGTCTTAAGATATTGACACCATGACCATATACAGTAGTAGTAGTAGTAGCATAAACTCACAACTCCCATCCTGTCCCTAATCAGGATATACAAAACCAATTTCAGTAATCAATGGAACAAAAACATAAAATGCTGTGTAAGTAGTATTTAAAGAAAAGATTTGTTATATTGAATGTTTTAATATTATTCAATTATATAGCCTTTGGTTTAGGTCGATACCTGGATTTATCGACCCGAGAAAAGATATATTGACCAAGGATGCTTCGGAAGCGGGACAGTGCATTGTTTGGAGACGCATGCTAATTCTATTTTTAGAAATACCCAGTCCTTCAACGCTCCAAGTCAATATCGTTTTTTTATCGGTAGACACGTGATGCACTCCTGGCCAATCTCTTGTTGGGAATAATATGAAAAAAAATAATAGATATTACTCTACTCGCACATTGCCCTAGCCCATCAGCATTCGGTGTGTAAATGTGTACCCTGAATTCAGATTCATGACCCACTTACAGACAGAAACAATCCTTAAAATCTGTCCACTGTTGACCAATAACACATCCGTTTAGTACATATAGGAAATGGCATGAAAACTTCTAAAGCTTTTTATGAAACCTAAAAGCTGCCAGCAAACATGATTCATTGTTCAGAATAAATGACTTAAAATTGATAATAATGGAAAAATAAATTTTTAATTTCTATGATTTAACTGGTTTTAAATTTCCGTTTTCTGATTGAATCTGATGTAAACAATTTAAGGGTGTTGAAATGTACAATGAATTACAAAGTTGTGAACAAATTTTAAGGAAAATTTCCACAGTGAAAAGTGGGACACCTGCACCTGTGATATAAGACTGAGCAAGTAAACAAATGCATACACAGGAAACAATAAAAAATACACAAAAATAATGTCACAAAACAGATCAACACACAATGCACCAAATACAAATTAATCCTTGAATATCTGAGTATTCCATTTGTCCTTGTTTGAAACCATTTGAGCATGAGAGGATTATCTCCCCTGGAATCACTTCCTCCTTGAGTAAAACTCGCACCATATTTACATGATTATAGAAGATTTTATGATAATCAGATTAAGGTAGATAACTCCAGTTTTATATATTCATGTAGTCTTCAATATAACTACAACCCTGAAACTCCTGCCACACAAGATGAGCCTCTGTTAATAGACATGACCTGTACCACATCAAATATGTCGGAGTCGTATACCTGATCCTCCAGGATCTGGACATGATCTCTGTTCACCTGCTCTCTGAAAGCCTTGTTAGGTCAACATTCATGGATGACCTTGGGAGGTAAAACATTCATGGATGACCTTGGGAGGTAAACATTCATGAACGAACTTGAGAGGTTATTATCCATTGACAGCCTTGAGCAAGTCACATCCATATATGACCTTCAAAGGGGTCAACATCGAGGGATGTCCTTTACAGGTCAACATCCATGGAAGGGATTCCATTAGTTATCATATCACTTGGTATCTCCACTGCTATAAATATCCATGACAGGGAAAGGTGGACTTTGAGGCCATAGTTTGTTGCACTAGGTAACCTTGTGTCAGCAGCTCTCATTCTGTATGTAAATGTCTTTGACAACAGGAGGCATGAGATCATCCTCTATCGGTAACACATTCAGCATCTTGGAATGCTCGAGGCTAATGTTGCGCAGATCAGAGAGAAGTAGAAGATACTTCGCTAAGGCACAGCCCCCTCGATTTCGCTTCTTGGACTCGTACTCATTTAAGGCATCCACGTAGACTTTTTGTATCTGCTCTACCAAGTCTTTGTTCCCTAGCCCTTGTCTATCAGCTGTAAAAATATTTAAAACATTGTAACTTACATGGTTGTCTGGACATACATCAGACCTAATTAAAAATTCTTCCTGAGAAACTGTTATAGCTATCACAACATTCATTCTTCCTCGGAAACTGTAATAGCTATCACAACTTTCATTCTTCCTGAGAACCTGTTATAGCTATCACAACATTCATTCTTCATGAGAAACTGTAATAGCTACCACAACGTTCATTCTTCCTGGGAAACTGTAATAGCTATCACAACGTTCACAACATCCATTCTTCCTGAGAAACTGGAATAGCTATCACAACATTCATTCTTCATGAGAAACTTTTATAGTTATCACAACATTCATTCTTCATGAGAAACTTTTATAGTTATCACAACATTCATTCTTCCCGAGAAACTGTTATAGCTACCACAATCTTCATTCTTCCTGAGAAACTGGAATAGCTATCACAATATTCATTCTTCATGAGATACTGTTATAGCTATCACAATATTCATTCTTCATGAGAAACTTTTATAGTTATCACAACATTCATTCTTCCTGAGGAACTGTAATAGCTATCACAACTTTCATTCTTCCTGAGAACCTGTTATAGCTATCACAACATTCATTCTTCTTGAGAAACTGTTATAGCTACCACAATCTTCATTCTTCCTGAGAAACTGTTGTAGCTACCACAATATTCATTCCTCCTGAGAAACTGTAATAGCTCTCACAACAGTCAGTCTTCCTGAGAAACTGTAATAGCTATCCCAACATTCATTCTTCCTGAGAGACTGTAATAGCTATCACAACATTAATTCTTCCTGAGAAACTGTTGTAGCTACCACAATATTCATTCCTCCTGAGAAACTGTAATAGCTCTCACAACAGTCAGTCTTCCTGAGAAACTGCAATAGCTATCACAACATTCATTCTTCCTGAGAAACTGTAATAGCTACCACAACGTTCATTCTTCCTGAGAAACTGTAATAGCTATCACAACGTTCACAACATTCATTCTTCCTGAGAAACTGTAATAGCTATCACAACATTCATTCTGCCTGAGAAACTGTAATAGCTATCACAATATTCATTATTCCTGAGAAACTGTAATAGCTATCACAACATTAATTCTTCCTGAGAAACTGTAATAGCTATCACAACGTTCACAACATTCATTCTTCCTGAGAAACTGTAATACCTATCACAACATTCATTCTTCCTGAGAAACTGTAATAGCTACCACAACGTTAATTCTTCCTGAGAAACTGTAATAGCTATCACAATATTCATTATTCCTGAGAAACTGTAATAGCTATCACAACATTCGTTCTTCCTGAGAAACTGTAATAGCTATCACAACATTCGTTCTTCCTGAGAAACTGTAATAGCTATCACAACATTCGTTCTTCCTGAGAAACTGTAATAGCTATCACAACGTTCACAACATTCATTCTTCCTGAGAAACTGTAATAGCCATCACAACATTCATTCTTCCTGAGAAACTGTAATAGCTACCACAACGTTCATTCTTCCTGAGGAACTGTAATAGCTATCACAACGTTCACAACATTCATTCTTCCTGAGAAACTGTAATAGCTACCACAACGTTCATTCTTCCTGAGGAACTGTAATAGCTATCACAACGTTCACAACATTCATTCTTCCTGAGAAACTGTAATACCTATCACAACATTCATTCTTCCTGAGAAACTGTGATAGCTATCACAACATTCATTCTTCCTGAGAAACTGTAATAGCTACCACAACGTTCATTCTTCCTGAGGAACTGTAATAGCTATCACAACGTTCACAACATTCATTCTTCCTGAGAAACTGTAATAGCTACCACAACGTTCATTCTTCCTGAGGAACTGTAATAGCTATCACAACATTCATTCTTCCTTAGAAACTGTAATAGCTATCACAACATTCATTCTGCCTGAGAAACTGTAATAGCTATCACAATATTCATTCTTCCTGAGAAACTGTCATAGCTATCACAATATTCATTCTTCATGAGAAACTGTTATAGCTATCACAATATTCATTCTTCATGAGAAACTGTAATAGCTATCACAACATTCATTCTTCCTTAGAAACTGTAATAGCTATCACAACATTCATTCTGCCTGAGAAACTGTAATAGCTATCACAATATTCATTATTCCTGAGAAACTGTAATAGCTATCACAACATTCGTTCTTCCTGAGAAACTGTAATAGCTATCACAACATTAATTCTTCCTGAGAAACTGTAATAGCTATCACAATATTCATTCTTCCTGAGAAACTGTCATAGCTATCACAATATTCATTCTTCATGAGAAACTGTTATAGCTATCACAACATTCATTCTTCATGAGGAACTGTTATAGCTATCACAATATTCATTCTTCATGAGAAACTGTTATAGCTATCACAATATTCATTCTTCCTGAGAAACTGTCATAGCTATCACAATATTCATTCTTCATGAGAAACTGTTATATCTATCACAACATTCATTCTTCCTGAGAAACTGTAATAGCTACCACAACGTTAATTCTTCCTGAGAAACTGTAATAGCTATCACAACATTCGTTCTTCCTGAGAAACTGTAATAGCTATCACAACATTCATTCTTCCCGAGACAAAAATTGTTTACCATTGACTAATGCAATAAATGCAATCCATATATAGGTGTGAAATAGATAATCCAGAGGGCTGGACCTTTGACATTCTTTGTATCAGGTAAACATCCGTTGGTGGTATTTTATATATTATATTAAGATAAAATGACAAAACCCTTTTGCTGTGTTTAGGACTTTTTATCACATTCTGTAGAAGTGTACATTGTATGTGGTGAAACCAAATGTACCTAACGACCTTCTCTCTACGCTTCACACATATTGATTCAGTTAATTAAAACTTCTCTTCACCATAATCAAAACTTTCTACACATAATTACTTTTGTAATCTTCACAATATGTATCTCTATGAATGTTAGGAGTTTGTAAAATTATATCAAAAAACAATTCAGAATTCATCAAATATACTTAATTTAACTTGAAACATATGTTACACTATCTGTGTAGCTGTTCATACAATGACATCAATACTTTGATTGAAATCGAAGTGATATTAACTATGAAACTCTGCACTATATATCCTTCTGTTAATATTCTCCATTATACTCTCTGTATACTACTCTTACCTCAGCCTAGTTACTTACTTGAGAAAATACATATGGCTGTGAAAAGGGCATATTCCGCATTGTCCGTCTGTATGTCCGCCATATCTTTACAAAGTTTGAACACCAGGTCAACATAGGCCTCGGGCTGACCCACGGCCAGACTGTTCTCCCGCGTCAGAGGCGTCCCATTGGCCAGCACAATGGCCTTCGACACGGGGTCGTAACATCGACTGGCTCGTATTGCCATCACCTCACTGGATGCTGCCTGTAACCATGACAATATAACCCTCACATTCTTCTTTATAAATATAAACAATTTAAAAAAAAAACCACTCCAAAAAGCAAGAGGCACAGAGGGCCTGATTCACCCACCTAAATATTTATGCAATAAGGGAAAACTGTTTTCATTAGAGGTAATAATGCAAATATTCCTCAACTGGGCCTTGCATCCAAAACGACATCCCTGCATTAAATAATGCCCAGGTCCCATCGGCCAAGGGTGATTGTTGGTTACCTTTTTTGAGATTCATGCATATGTAGTATGGTGATAGGGTAGGGATCTCAATTATTTCCATACTTTATTGTCTATGGGATTAAGTCCTCTGGGTTGGGCCAGACCTTAGGGCTAATCCTATGAGAGTATGTATTTTTCACAAAGGAATATGTTTCTTACAACGGAGTATGCTTATTTTACAAAGAAATTATTTACATTTTCAGATAAAGTCAAGATCTAACAAAGCAGTGATTGAGCATCTCTTTTAAGAAACACAAATATTTCATTCTGAAATAATTGCTACAAATGAAGATATAGTTCTTTGACTAGAGCTTTGTTGTCATAATGAAGTGGATATTTAAGTATGGAAATATCTTCTGTGTTAAAGCAAAGAATAGTTTCATTACAACATGGGTTTACCTTCAGTAGAACAATCTGGTCTTCTTTCTCTAGACGAGTAAAACCAGGTAAATTTTTCGCGAACTCCACGATGAGATGTGTGATGAGAACAGTCATCTTTGCCAGGCTGCCGAGAACATGTTCCTCCGACTCCTCTTTAGAGTTTGGGTCAATATCCTGCAACAATGAAACATTACGGTCAATGACAGGGCTGTTATCACATAAACTCCTGTTCCCCTACTGATATCTTCTCTTCTGGCCCAAATGGGACCAATATTTTCACTCTTTGTCACCTCTGATTGGGGAATCAAACCCTGACCACCTTGGTGTAAGGTGAGCGTGTTATCCACTGCTCCACCCTAACAACCATGATTTAACTCATTGACACCCCTGAAATTTCATAATGAACTATTCCAACCTTTGAATTGGAGGAGTTCAAATGCATCTTCTGGGGTGAATGAGTTACAGATGTGAATGAGTTACAGATGTACCTGTATTGGCTCCATTTTTCTGACAAACTGGGGATCAATCCTTCCTATACATAAAAACAAGAGGGGCGGAACAATATACGCCCATTGAATGCCATATAGTGTTATACACTTTCTTACATTGAAATAAGATCTCCCTGCATCATTCTAAGAGTGGTTAAATGACATGCTATAAAAATGTAGGAGAAAATCTCCGGGCAAAAAATCAAATACTGAAATGAACACAGAGCTATAACTTTTGCAAAAAGCATCGAATCAAAATTCTTTTAAGGGAGACACAATTTCATATCATGATTATAATGTATACCAAGTTTTAAATAGATCGGTCGAAAAATGTAGGAGGAGATTGCCGGACAAAAATCAAATACTGAAATAAACAAAGGGCAATAACTTTTGCAACAATTGATGAATCAACATTCTTTTAGAGGCGACACAACTTCATATCATGATGATAATGTATACCAAGTTTCAAAGAGATTGGTCGAAAAATGTAGGAGGAGATTGCCGGACAAACAAAAGTTTACGTCGGACGGATGGACAACCCCATACCATAATACTTCCGTCAAATTTGACGGGCGTATAACAATCTCCAAGCTAGCCCACAGATTCATACAATAAGCCAGTGAAAATCTCTGCTGTATTAGAAGCTTGTAAAGAAAGAGACAATGTTTGTTAACTCATTAACCCCTGAAATTTGTATGATGAACTATTCCAGCCTTTGATTTGGAAGAGTTCAAAAGTGTCGATCTTCTGGGGTGAATGAGTTAAACAGGAAAAAATAAACCGAAATATAAAGTAAAACCAAAGTTATTTAAGCAGAAAAAATTAAGGTCACAGAGATCTACATTTGATATGTAATTGGTGTTCTTTGGCACCAAGTATGTGCACATTTTGTGCGTGATACCAGTATGCTTCTAGCATTTTAAATGAAGCTTAATAAAGTCTTACCAGGATTTCTGACAGATACACAGATAGTAAAACACTTGATGCCCCCGCTCCACTCTGCCACGGGGGCATATCAGTTTGACAGGCCTTTCACTAAGGTATGCTGTGAACTGTTGCTGTATGAAGCTTTTATTTTGTCTTAGCATATTCATATGCATATTCAAAATTAAATAGTTAAGGTAAATAAATATTAGGATACTTACAACATGTCTTTATCAGAGGATAAATACAAAATGTCAATTCCTGTTTGTATCAAATATTTTTTACAATTTTTTAAGTAAAATTATTTGTGTATTCTCAAGAACACCCATTTCACATGTTCTATTTTCAGTTATTCATTTCCGCATCTAAAACTCAATTTGAAATTCTAATTTCTCAGGCAATGTCAAAAAAACATGCTTTGCGGTTTAACAGACAAGGAATCCTTCGAACGTCTTTTCCCTGTATTAGTCTCCGCCTCCGGGGAGTACCGTATTTGTTAAAATTCAACAGCATTGTAATGAGTAACAAATAGGCTGCGGAAATTCTGTGTCAATGTGACAGAACAATCAATAATGGAACAACACCATCGTTATCATCCTCCGCATCCCACTAATGAAGAGAAAACCACCCACCTGGGTAAATTGGAATCAAATCTGTTTTGCTGCAGAAATTAAGACATTAGTACTGCACTGAAACAATAAGGAAGGCGGTGCAAATGACAACTGATAGCATTTTTGAGAAGATATTCTCAAATAAAACCTGGTAAAAGACACGTACTACTCAACTCAGCTGTCATAAACACATGTCATAGAGGCGTAGAAAAAATATTAATATGTGAACAAGGTTCTACAAGAATATCCAACATAGCAAAAGCCACTACCAGATCACTGACAATGTTTCATGATATTTAAAACAGTTTTCAAGTTTTTGTCTGGAAATTACAAACGTTGGTAATTGTGCAACATGTTTCCATGGCAACAATTTTTTTTTTTTTTTTTTTAGATTGGAATGTGAACAAAATTTCCTCAAGATAACATTGAAATTAAATGGCATTTGTGTACAAATACTGACAACTAGACCTGTATGCCAATTAAAGGCTATAACTCACTCTGCCATAAAAATTGCAGAAATGAATTCCATTGAAATATAGTTATACTGAAAATCAGATGAAAACAGAGGAGGGTTTCTGGAAAATGCTTTCATAAAGTTGAATAAAAGGGGTATTTAATAAACTCCCATAAAAATAATTAAATTAAGTAAGCAAAGGTGTACAAATTCAGCATGATGACCATACTAGAGGAGTAGGGATGAAACTTTGGATGAAAGCTGGAAGAGGAATTGTCCAGATAAGATTCCGTCTACGGAAATAAAAATTGAATCCAATAATGACTACCAAAACCACCTCCCCTTGCAGGGGGTATAATGTTATAGACAGTGCTTCGTTTTAATATCCCCTAATGATACATTATCAGGCGATGATGTAATGTGACATTATATCAGGACGCAACAACTTGACATTTCAGCTTCAATCAAATTGTTCACTTTCTTTAATACCAGAATAGCTAAATGTTTCAGCCTGAGGTAAACATGTATCGTACACAGCCAAATTGATGATGAATATAATATGGTTTACATGTAATGAAGTAAACAGGACTACAGTCTGTATTAACCCTTTCACCCCTATGCAACGTTAGTAGACTCTACCATGCATTGATCTGGATAAGTCCATAATGGTCTACAGTGGTGAAAGGGTTATGACTGTACCATATACATATTTGATGATAAATTTAGTAATTTTTACAAGTAATAAAACAAACAGGGCAACAGTCTGTACCTATAGACTTATGTATCGGACATTTAGTGTATAGCCTTCACAGACAAAAAATACCATTGAATAAGACAAGACTATAGTCCTTAATGGTGGCTTGTGTTATAACCTTTGTATTAGACAGTCCTCTTGGACTGAGCATATCTTTAGATCGGACCCATCCTCGATATCCAGGGGTAAAGCTCATTTACGCTCTCTGCACCCCTGGAATATGTCATAGCAAAATTGAAGGCTCAGTGTGCACCACCTTGTGGAATGAGACAAGAATACTAGTTTGATCCTTTGATGTACATCAAAAGAATCTTGGGGTCGGTTGTGTAACAGTAAAAATCGTCAGACTTTGAAGTCGGATGTCGCCCCTTTGTAATCTTCAAAGGACAGGTATCAGTCCACCTATTGGTCATTTTTTTTTTTTTACCTGAGACCAATCAAACAGCTATCTTTGTGCCTTCAATTTTGCTTTGACTTATTCCAGGGGTGCAGAGAGCGTATGTGAGCGCAACACCTGGATATCGAGGATGGATCGGACATGAATACAGTCCTCATGGACTTGTGTGCCTTCGTTATTATCGACAATGGACAATATTAACGTGTACGGTGCTAATGGACTAAATTTACCATTGAGTCTTGTTAGTTCTAGAAGGGGATCTTCATAATTTCCCTCAAACAAGAGGCCCAATGGGCCTGCATTGCTCACCTGGTATAAATCTCACACTTGCAACCTTAAAAGTGATCTAAAATAATAAAGCTACAGGCAAAATATCAGTATTTATGATTAAAGTCATTCAAAAGAACCTGTTAAAAGATTTTAAAACATTTCACCCCTGTTACTTTGAAAGTCGAACAAAGTCATTATGTTGAACAAATTGTATAGCCTTTTATCTCAGTATGCAGCTTGCAAAGTATCAACATCCTGGGACCCATGGTTATTCAGAAGAGGTCGTTTAAAGATTTTAAATAGATTTGACCCCTGTGACCTTGAATATAAGTAAGTCATTCACTTTAACAAACATAGTAGTCCTTGATCTGACTAAATATCAACATCCTGAGCCTTTTGGTTATTCAGAACAAGTTGTTTAAATATTTTGAACATATTTGCTCCTTGTGACCTTGAATATGATTCAAGGTCATACATTTAAACAAACTTTGTAGCCCTTTACCCCGCATGCTACACGCCAAATATCATCACCCTGTGCATTTTGGTTATTCAGAAGTTGTTTAATGTTTTTAACATATTTGACCCTGTGACCTTGAATATAAGTGAAGGTCATTCATTCGAACAAACTTGATAGCCCTTTACCCCAGCATGCTACTGGCCAAATATCATCACCCTGTGCATTTTGGTTATTCAGAAGAAGTTGTTTAAATCTTCTAACATATTTGACCCCTGTGACCTTGAATATGGGTGAAGGTCATTCATTTGAACAAACTTTGTAGCCCTTCATTTCAGCATGCTACGGGCCAAATATCATCACCCTGGGCATTTTGGTTATTCAAAAGAAGTTGTTTAAAGATTTTTTTTTAAGACAATTGACCCCTGTGACCTTGAATATAATTGAACGTCATTCATTTGAACTAACTTGGTAGCCCTTTACCCAAGCATGCTACTTGCCAAATATCATCTCCCTGGGAAGTTTGGATATCGAGAAGAAGATGTTTAAAGTTTATAACATATTTGAATCCTGTGACCTTGAAAATGGGTGAAGGTCATTAATTTTAACAAACTTTGTAGCCCTTCATCCCAGTTTGCTTCTGGCCAAATATCGACACCCTAGGCCTTTCGGTTATTAAGAAGAAGTTGTTTAAAGTAAAATATTGACGCCAGACGGACGGACGGATGATGGACGGACGACGCGCCATGGCATAAGCTCATTTGGCACTTGATGCCAGGCGAGCTAAAAACAGGGGGGAGGACACATTCAGGAGAAGGAGCACAAATTATGGTAAATATGGTATCTTAAATTCACTGTAGTTATCCAATTCATAGCATTAAATACTTTCTTCTCATAAAACTGATAAATTATTTAATTTTTGATGATGGCATATGTCTCTACCAATTCCTGTCAGTGAAGTTCACATCGTAACAGCCAGAAGATTAGGTTGTTTATCAAAGAAAGCAGAATCTCTTAACATTCTGCTACTATGTATTACAATGAATAGTTCATTTTCTGAATTCCTGTCTGCACTTTGCATTTAGAATTCCTTATAGTGAACATTTGTTACATGCTGATCTAGACAAATTGTTATTCTATCTGATCTTCAGAAAAACAAAAAATTGTGCTGAGATATTGCTGTTATACATACACAGGAAATATCTGTGGGAAAGCAAATCAATACGGGGGATTAGATGCTCACACTGACAATAAATGTTCATATCTCATGTTTTATGCATGTTATATATAACTGCATAAAACTTATCGATTGTTTGAGACAAATCTTAATTATTTGAAACTATAGTTAAAATGTCGAGCCACTTTGATTTGCGACGTCTCTTCCGTTTGTCTGGTACTTGTCGGGGAATGTCATGTCATTGTAACAAGACGGCAGTCCTGTATATATATCTATACGGCAAGATACTGTAAAAATGGAAATTTTCACGGTGTTTAACTGTTCGCGTTATCTGCATCGAGTAAATAATCATGAAAATATCCACACACTGATATCCTGTTATAGGTTATGTAGATTATAGAAAGGTTGAATATTTAGATTTCAGAGTTATTACCAGCTGCATGAACATTTGAAGGGTCACAACACGAAAATTTCCACAGACGAAAAAATTCCACTTTACAGCATAAGTGATCATCCATCATCCTATTCCATCTTTGCGTATTGCAGAGTTATCTTCTCTTGTGAGCAGGTATTGATTGTTACGTCTTTTGCTTGTGTGAGAAAATTACGTCGTTTTCTCAAAAATTGATTACGTTACTCTCACAAACAAATGACGTAACAATCAATAACTGTTCACAAGAGCAGATAACTCTGCAATACGAAAAGACGGAATTGGTGTACACAAGGAGTGAAACTCGGTGTCCTTAAAACAAAGTCAGAAGATTGCAAGGCTAAACAGCGCCCAGCACCTTTCACAGAATATATAAATAAATATATATGCAAGACAACACACTTCTCTGTGAACTCATGAATATATTCGTCCGCGCAATAAACTCATGCTTTCTGATTCGTTACAAAAACACAAGTGTGTGGTCTTCACAGCTTTTATCACATACCTTCCGTATTTGGTAGAGATCAATACAAAGATTTTATAAACTTTGATATTTTTTGCAAATACCGGGAACTTTAGATTTCGCCATGACGAGGGGATTCCCATAAAAAGTAGTTCCAGCTAGTAGGTAAATACAACATTCCGTATTGCACATGTGCAATACAGAACTTTGTATGTCATGGTCTGAAAATTGCTTGTATCATACTTTAACAAGATTCAACAGGTATGTGATAAATAATCTTAAACCTTATTTTGATGATAAATACTTACAATGGCGGTCTCAATCTTTTCCTCTTCAGGAAACTCGTATTTGTCTTGAAGTTTAACGAGTTTCTCTATGAGCTTGGCAGTATCATCACACACGTTCATAATTGGCTGTGTGTCGACAATCACGTAAGGTGATATCCCGAGAGGAGGAACCGACTTCGGCGTACTAGGGGGCGAGAATTGCCTCTCAAAATCGGGATATTTGTTAGGAGACGGACATTCTGCCTGCTGCTTTTCGACAATAACAGTTTCATGTTTTTTCTGATACCTTGTCTGTTTTGATTTGCGTCGTGCGTCTCTCGCTTTACACTGTTCATCAGAGAGTAAACCTAAAATCGAGACAAAATATTATCATTGTCAACCTTCACTCAACATATTAGTATTCACAAAACATATATACTTTCATTGAAAACAATAGGACCCTAGTGCCTGTGTTGATTATCCTTTGCTATTTGTTATTTGAACTAAAAAATGTCTGTAAGACATAAATGCCCCCGCTCATGGATGGAACACGACGCGACGCAACGGGAATGGGCAACACTATATGCCCCCCCCCATTTTATGACAGGGGCATAACAAGATAAGATGCTGAATAAGGTTTTGCCATTTGAGACCGTGTTGAGCATCTGAAATAACACTACAATTACAATAACACACTTGGGCAGGGTAATGACGGAAATATTTTTGATAATTTTGGTTACATTTAGTTGTGAGTCGCCACATATTTTACCTTCAGAAGTATAACTCCATATACAGACTCTCCCTACAATTAGTTTGAAGGTTAAAATTTCTGTCTATAATTACCAACAAGTGGGATTTTTAATTTTTGAAAGTATTGCCCACAATTGTATCAATGGCAATTAATTAATTATGAACAAGTCTTTGTTATTATTATGAAATTGTTCACTTTAACTCATTCACCCCTGAAATTTCGTAATGAACTATTCCAACCTTTGAATTGGAAGAGCTCATATGCGTCTTTAGGGGTGAATGAGTTAAAAGCAATTATGTCAAAATCTCCCTTCCAAAATCTCAATCTCTATTATTATTATATAATTATTGGAGCTGAGTTTAACCTGATTACCACCATCTTGGATAGTAGATGCTCTTAGATGTCAGTAAGTCTGGTTGTTTCCGAAAAATCACCATAAATAAATAGTTTCCTTCCATGATCATATTACACATGTAATATTGTGGTGTATTTTTGTATTAATTTAATTTTTATTTAAATTCCTTTGTTTTAAATTCCAATACTTTTGAAATGATAAGAATCTTGTTTATAAGTTTAAACTGAAGCAATTTAAGACTAGATATAAATATTGTAATATTTCAAGGCTAAACTTTTGAAAAGTATAAGGATAGCTAGGGAATTACATCTCGCAGGTGGTTACAGGTGGTTGCTAAGGTTTTTAATATCTACTAGACAAGTCCCACTTATCAATCCAAACATTCAGTCCAGACACATACACCAACGACTCCTGTTCAATAATTAATATAAGCTAGCGTGTTCTTCGTAGGGATACACATGAATGCTCTTATTACCTCACACAGCCTGACAGATATATCAATGGGTGCTAATTTAATTCCACTTCTCGATCATTACGCCAGACGCAGTTCACATTTCAACCTTGCAGAAATTAAATGTCATGCATCAAATCATCCTACTTCTTGTGATATTGATCGATGAAATGGTACGCCTTATCATTATTTCTGAGGAGAACACTGTAATTTAAACATGAAAGTGCATGAATACTTCATCAAAAGCTAAAATCCCCATTACATCTCAAGGTGATTCATTTTAAAAGAGATCTATAGTAATTAACATATAGATATCAGACGTGTCATAGCTATGGCACTATATATCAACGTTTATACAAAGTAAATGTGCTGACTTTTTGGTTTGAATCTATTAACTGATTATTATGATGTTTCTATTTCAGATTTCACATATATTTATTTTACACTCGATCACTTACATGAAAAGTGAACAACAAACTAGCTGATTAAAACAGTATTACAATCCAATGATCAACAGATCAAAAGGATATATAGGCTAACAGATATATATCTCCTCCACCATTTAGCAAGATGTTATCAAAATTACACTAATTGAGAATCATGTTTGTTTGTGTTTTACGTCCTATTAACAGCAATGGTCATTTAAGGACATGCCAGGTTTTGATGGTGGAGGAAAGCCGGGTTCCCGGGGGGGGGGGGGGGGGGAAAACACCTGGCAACTGCCCCATGTAGGCCTTGAACCCCCGTGACCCAGTGGTGGACGACTAGTGGTAGCAGAATGTCAGACGCCTTAACCACTTGGCCAGCGCGGCCCAATGACGGGATAACTCAACAGGTTAGAGTGACAGTATAACAATCCTAGGTCCAGGGTTTGAATCCTGGTCTAGCCCTACTGGATTTTTTTACTCAGTGAACACTGTTGTTGAGATTATTTTGTTTATTTCAGCTTTTGGGATATTTTGTCAAAAAAGTATCTTAACTCATTCACCCCTCTTCCAAGTCAAAGGCTGGAATAGTTCATTATGAAATTTCAGGGGTGAATGAGTAAAGGTTTGATTTTCTTTTAGAAATTATTTATCAAAGGTATAATCATGCTGAACCCCCCCCCCCCCCCCCCCCCAAAATTTCAACGACTTAGTAAGAGTTTTTGACAGCTAGGTAAAGGGATTGTTAAACTTACATTCCTCCTTCATTCCGACCTCCCGACACCTGATCAGACGGCATGCCTGACACTTTCTCCTCATCCACATGTCCATCTCACAGTTGCCTCCGTATTTACAGTAGTAGTTAGCTGCCCGTGTGATACTTCTCCGGAAAAACCCTGCCAAACATTAAACTTTTATTAAATTGTATTTAAACCTAAGTCTTAATGAATATCATCATCATCATATATACCTCACAACAAACGAGACAAACAATCCTCAAATTCAATTTCATGAAAAATATGAAGCTAAAACATCACGTAATATAACTTGTGGAAAAAACCCAACCATTTGTTATCTGGGAGGTGGAGTTGAGGGGCCTATTTCTGTTGCCCTCATAGTCATCACTCCTGGATGCCTACCTCCACAGCCCTCACAACAAACAGATGCCTACCTCCACAGCCCTCACAACGAACAGATGCCTACCTCCACAGCCCTCACAACGAACAGATGCCTTACCTTTGCAGCCCTCACAGCTGAGGGCATTATAGTGATACCCTGAGGCCCGGTCTCCACATATTCGACACAGCTCCTCTTCAATACTTTTGCCAGGTATCCCGACACCCTTTTTCTTCTTGGCATCGTTGATTGTACTAGAAGAGACGGCACGATCTGATGTTGCCCCGAAGTGAAAGTCGGAGTCCAACCCCCCCATCAGGGATCCCTGAGAGCTGTGCACCATGTTGTCTAAGGGGGTTTGTGGCCCTCGCTGGAGGTCCACACTGTCATTATGTAAAACTGGAAAGACACAACACATACCGCTTATAAGTGGCGATGCAGATATACATAGCACCAAAATCAATGGCATTATAATCAATTTTGTATCTGGTTCTCAGCTGACAAAATCTGTTAATACCTATACATAAACAGTCAGGGGCAGGTAATTTTGGTCTGTTCCAAAAGTACACACTATTGTATATATCAGCCAAATACCGATGTTTTCTCATCGTTAAGTGTTTCGAAAAATTACACCAATGCATATTTACCAAATATCGTTCAGTGATATGACACTGAATGAATTATTACCGAGACTCATACACATAGATAGCATGGATCACTGATTACGGAGACTCATACACATAGATAGCATGGATCACTGATTACCATCCTCATACACATAGATAGCATGGATCACTGATTACCGAGACTCATACACATAGATAGCATGGATCACTGATTACGGAGACTCATACACATAGATAGCGTGGATCACTGATTACGGAGACTCATACACATAGATAGCGTTGATCACTGATTACGGAGACTCATACACATCGATAGCATGGATCACTGATTACCGAGACTCATACACATAGATAGCATGGATCACTGATTACCGAGACTCAAACACATAGATAGCATGGATCACTGATTACCGAGACTCATACACATAGAGAGCATGGATCACTGATTACCGAGACTCATACACATAGATAGCATAGATCACTGATTACCTAGACTCATACACATAGATAGCATGGATCACTGAAGAATGAATAGTAGAGCAGTCAATGGATTAAAGCCGACATTCCTTTTGTCTAGAATACTGTAAAACATGTCCAAAGCCAGTGGCTGTGCCACATATAAGTGTGATGCTAGGTTCAGCTACAGGGAAATGAAACATAATTTTTATTTTTGAAAATGCACGAAATTGAACCAGAGTTTATGCTTAAGAGGATTACAGGGGCGTAACAAACAGGTTTTGAATGTGTAAGCCCAATGATCAAATGTGCTGTCAAAGGCAGCCTCCCGAAGCGCAGCACGAGGAGGGGGAGTGTATGGGAGGGGTTTTCCCCCCTCCCCATCAATGGGGGTCTGGATGGTTTCCCCCAGGAGAATTTTGTTTTCTAGAACGCCTGAGATGCGTTCTCCGGTGTTCTAGCGTCAGTTCCAATGGCCATTTTAAAGCAAGAAAATATAATTTTCCCCCATCATTTTACAAATATTTTGCTTTTTAGTATTTTATATCCTATAGTCTATTTGTCAAAAATGATGTGTAAGCCCGGGTTTTTTTGCTACATAGGTTGTTACACCCCTGGATACAAGTTCTGATAAATACAGCCCCCCCCCCCCGCAAACATGCCTACAAGCACATCTAACATTGAAGGGGAGTGAAACCTGCCTTATCAGCACATATAAAACTGAAAAGATGATTAACCAATGCACTCTGTTAATTTTTCTTTTTTTTTTTAAATAATCCCCTACTGAGATTCGAAATACTCTCTCTCATACAGGAAACTCCAAGATATTTCCAAAATATAATTCGAAGATTTTCCCAAAAATCTAAAATTTACTTTATGAGACTTTGATACCCAGACTCATAAAACTTGTGTTAGAGAGACACCTGAGTGTGCTACCGACAGAGAGCAGAGAGTGTGCTACCGAGTGTGCTACCGACAGAGAGCAGAGAGTGTGCTACCGAGTGTGCTACCGACAGAGAGCAGAGAGTGTGCTACCGACAGAGAGCAGAGAGTGTGCTACCGAGTGTGCTACCGGCAGACCAGATTGAACATCTAGAAAATCTCAGCATGACCTCGAACTCTGCAGAATACATGTTAGAGTCTAAGTATTCAGTGTTATTATGTTATACAAAGAATGACATCATCAAAAACTTGTAAAATCTGAATTTGAAATAATCTAATGACTCTTTAAACTGCTACATATTTATTAATATCATTTTTTTTATTTAATATTTTAGAGCGAAATAAAATTACTGAAAAAATAAATAACAAAAAGATACCTTTTCACTGTTAAATTTGCCATTGGTTACATCAAAATTATCGCAATTATCTTCTGCTTACAGAATTAAATTAATACAAATATAATAGAGATGATTTACATCTTATCCTGAGGGACCTCCTCTTGTAATAGACATTTATATTGAGGTTTGTTTAGGCTGTGGGCAGATAAGGCCATCAATGAGGGATATAGATAAAACTCTGTATAGCTTAACTATACCCACAACATGTCCTTATCTGATATACCATATTTGTCATCATAAACACCCCCCAAATGTGTTAAACAATTCATTAAGATTAGGGAGGGTACTCTTCAATTTTAATACTGGGCTATATTTTTATAAAGCAATACATGTAACAATTAAAGCACTTCTGAGGCTGGGTACAGTGGTCGGATGTATATATTCACTCTTAAATTCGATGCTGGGGAGAAGGAAAACTAATTCCTGTAATGCAATTTCATCCTAATTCCTTTGAAAGGGGTCAACATAATAATAGAATTTCACAACTTCACCACCAGAGTGGACCAAGGAAATTGAAAACTTGGTAAAGTTTGTATTTTAATCATATGTATTGGTAAAGTTTGTATTTTAATCATACGTTAAAAAAATTCAAAACAAACACAAACTGACTGTTTATTTGCAATTTCAAGAATCTAACTGAATTGTAACTGAATTCACCATAAAAGTTCTGTATAATATGTTTAACTCATTCACCCCTGAAGACACATTTGAACTCTTCCAAATCAAAGGTTGGAATGGTTCATTATGAAACTTTAGGGGTGAATGTACAGCTAAGAGAAAGTAACTTATGTTCATGGTGATGTTCATGAACTCAATTTAATGGAGTGAAGAAAATATGGTGTCTGGAATCGGACACTATTTTCACTAACAAGCATCGCAAGGTTAAGGTTTCTTATCTACATAAATTTCGAATGCATTTTAATCAAAGCCACAAGTAGAGAGAAGCAAAGCAAGAGATTTTGTCAGAGGATTGGACACTCATTCACTACCTGGTGATTCAAGCGGAATCATTATCTGTAGTCACAGTAAATAATTGCAGATCATTGTAACTCCGTTGATCAGCAAGGCAGAATTTCATTTACATTGGGAGCTAATTCGCTTGAATAATCATAAGCATTGAGCAGATTGACACTTAGGATTTTTTCTTAGGTTGTAACAAATACCCTTTTTTTTTAGTCAGAAATTGAAATGTCACTGCTAATGCAACTAGATAAAATTAAATGGACAATTGTTGAATTTTAAGGGTGTGGATTGTCTGCCCCCTGCTGCCAGATCTGGCTATATCCATCGCAATGATCTAACTACATTGTACTGAACTCCTGTAGGGGATGTAGACACCGACTCTTAAGTTTCATCTAGATGTTTCAACGGTTTTAAGTTTACAACCCTAACCGTATTTCACTGAACATTTTGCGCTAATTTTACCTTTGACCTTATTACAGTGCAATACATATTTTTGGGGGGATTTACAGGTACAAATTGTAAAAACTTCAAAAGTTTTCTCAAGATATCTTTACAGGTTGAAATGATTGGGAAGATGTGCTATTAGATGGAAATCCTTAAACTTAAGAACTTAGTACTAATACAATGTTCAATTTTCATTTGAATGGAAGACATTAATAGTTAATCTTAATCAAATGTATCATTTTAATTATGTATACCTCATAATGTACCCTTCCAACCAACTCTTACCCAGGAGACTATTTGCCAGATAGTGAGGGGGGAAACTAATTACAAGTCTTATATAATCAATAGATATGTGATTTCAGGACACAAAATAATTACCGAGACTGTAAGTTCTCTCGTTTGACTTTGGGACACAAAATGAAATATTGTTCTAGACCAGAATTTCTCCTCTGATCATCCTCCGATCGCGAGCTCCTGTTAGATATCTCATTTATAGTTACATCAGCATGTATCATCATTAGAAATATCAACTGAAGTTTTGTACTGGTGAACAGACATCTGTAACTAATAAATGTTATCAAAGATTTTCATCGGATACAGCATCAAAACGTTAATCTGAAATTTGATAATATATTCAGAATGAATGCCTATAATTATTAAATAGCTGATTGAAAATCTTAAAAAACGTACACCATGTTCAGACAGGACATATTTTTAAAGATGACAAGCCATTATTCCCGAGCCGTATCCTAAAAGTGTAAACCTGATCCCCAGTTAGTCGACCAATTGGTCTATGTCCTCTGTATGACCCGCGTGTTTTTAATCTGTGTTTTAATCCTATGACAGTATCTCCAACACTTAAAATCAACAAACGAATCAGTTCTTAATATCAACTTCCTCCCCTCTGGGCAAAAGCGATATTGACGACCAGTACAATTAAAATCCACATGTAAAATATCTGACATACTTTAATAGGGAAGCTAGACAGGCATATAGGGAGCTGCCTTCTACTTTATCATTCCTTAACCTTTTTATACGTGAACAAGCATTTTAATGCTGGAGTGTATGTTCTGTACCACTTGGTGTCAGAGGAGAATTTAATTTCGAAAGTTTAATTTGAAGCATTCATTGTCAGCTCATCTAAAAATACCCAAAATGGTCCCTTAAAGGAAGGTTACAAATCACTTTCCCTTTGAGATTCGTCAAACAATGTTTCTACATCGCAAAAGAAGAATATGATTATCTCCCTTTTGGAAGTTCTCCAGTATTAGTTTGCTCATAAGAGTTGTGAAAGAGATAATATTTCAGTATCTGCTATATATACAGACACTAATTGAATGATCTGTTGTCATGGGATCTTACTGGATCAAATTAGGATGTAAAACCTCAAAAATACAACATCATTGATCAGAAATTATTATCACGTGACATTCAGATAACATTCTGCATTATATGGTTACAACGGCACTAAAGGTTCTTCTTCTTCTTCTTCTTCTTCTTCTTCTTCTTCCTTTACAAGGATCAGACTCAAAGGTTTGAGTTTTTTGATCCTGGGAGGTGGCATTAAAAA